ATGTAGTAAATGCAAACTGTAAATGTCATAGATAGACTTCTTCTACGGAATGTTGAAATTTGCCCCTAGAGTTGCAAGATCATTTGGAAAGCTTTCACCAGCTGCTCGGGTTGTGGCCATCATGCACCATCATAGCTATGTCTTTGGATCTTTCTGTACAGACTGATATCCATGTCAATGGTGGAGATGTGTTAGGAATGATGTCACGCTTGATGCCTTGCGCCAAGACCGAACCAGCCTACCATCGGCCTCTCTTTGCTGAAACTTTTCCTCCGGCTTCGACGGTCCAATGCAAACCACACACGTTCGCCCTCTCAACGCAACGTGTGTGGTTGCTGACTCTTCTGTGGTACCAGCGTTGCTTCCGGCTTCAACTTGTCTGACGCCGACCACGCACGTTCGCCCACTCAACGCAACGTGTGTGGTCTTGCCAAGCCTAGCCCAGTCTTGTTGATCTTGATCGACGCCGACTCTGCTACGTCTTCAACACTGCCTTCGTCCTCAACTGTCCAACGCCGACCACGCACGTTCGCCCACTCAACGCAACGTGTGTGGTCTTGCCAAGCCTAGCCCAGTCTTGTTGATCTTGATCGACGCCGACTCTGCTACGTCTTCAACACTGCCTTCGTCCTCAACTGTCCAACGCCGACCACGCACGTTCGCCCACTCAACGCAACGTGTGTGGTCTTGCCAAGCCTAGCCCAGTCTTGTTGATCTTGATCGACGCCGACTCTGCTACGTCTTCAACACTGCCTTCGTCCTCAACTGTCCAACGCCGACCACGCACGTTCGCCCACTCAACGCAACGTGTGTGGTCTTGCCAAGCCTAGCCCAGTCTTGTTGATCTTGATCGACGCCGACTCTGCTACGTCTTCAACACTGCCTTCGTCCTCAACTGTCCAACGCCGACCACGCACGTTCGCCCACTCAACGCAACGTGTGTGGTCTTGCCAAGCCTAGCCCAGTCTTGTTGATCTTGATCGACGCCGACTCTGCTACGTCTTCAACACTGCCTTCGTCCTCAACTGTCCAACGCCGACCACGCACGTTCGCCCACTCAACGCAACGTGTGTGGTCTTGCCAAGCCTAGCCCAGTCTTGTTGATCTTGATCGACGCCGACTCTGCTACGTCTTCAACACTGCCTTCGTCCTTAACTGTCCAACGCCGACCACGCACGTTCGCCCGCTCAACGCAACGTGTGTGGTCTTGCCAAGCCTAGCCCAGTCTTGTTGATCTTGATCGACGCCGACTCTGCTACGTCTTCAACACTGCCTTCGTCCTTAACTGTCCAACGCCGACCACGCACGTTCGCCCACTCAACGCAACGTGTGTGGTCTTGCCCAGCCTAGCTCAGTCCTGTTGATTACAGTCTATAAAACCTCTCTGATTTCAACTTGAATTTCCAACATCGGCTTCGGACTTCACCCCTCTAACAGTCCCAAATTTGTGAGTATGAAATTCGGCTCCCTCTTCCTCTCGTTGAATAATAAAGATGATATATTGTTGTTTGGTTAACTTGTGGATGCTTGGGAAAATATATAGCTGATGCCAAAATTTTGTGTGACCGTTGTAGCTTTACGTCGGCTTGAGAGGAACCAGCCCGAAGAGAAAATCTTGATTGTTGCATCTTTCATGAACTCGCTCAAAGGAATAAAATTGTAGTAGCTTAAATAAATCATTATTATTTGATGATGTTGTCCCATTTTGATAACGCCTGAATCATGATATGAAATTGATATTGCTCATCTCATTTGTCGGCTTTGCTATTTCAGGCAAATAAATTCTTGATTGAAATCCACGACCTCGGGGCCCTTGGAACCCGCACTAATGAGAGCAAGGGCTGTTCCTCGGAAGTCCGAACAAAAGCAAGACTGTCCCTCGGGGGTCCGAAGGTAACACACACCCTACTTTGGCAAGAAAGATTCCTCTGGAAGATAACCGAGTCTTACCAAGCTTGCACCAACAGAAGTAAAGATTGTCTCTCAGAAGTTCGAGCAAAAATAAGGCTGTCTCCCAAAAGTCCGAGCAGAAACGAGGCTGTCCCTCGGAAGTCCGAGTGGATGCGTACTTCTACTTCGGCAACTAATGGAAGCAAAGGCTATCCCTCGGGAGTTCGAGTAAGAGTTCACTCTACTTTGAAAAGAAAGATCCTCGGGGCTCGCACTGATGGAAGCGAGGTCTGTTCTTCGAAAGTCTGAGTGGGAGCACACACTCTACTTCAACAAGAAAGATCCTTAAAGCTTGAACTGACAGAAGTAAGGGCTATTCTTCGGAAGTCCGAGTGGGAGCACACACTCTACTTCAGCAAGAAAGATCCTTGAGGCTCGCATTGATGGAAGCCATGACTGCTCTTCGGAGGTCCGAGTGGAAGTATACTTCTACTGTGTCAAGAAAACTCCCTTCAGGTTGGTAACTGAGTCTACCATTCCTTTTTCTTCTTTGAGGGGCAACAAAAATTGAAAACAGTTTCAAGCAACATAACACAATGAAGATATACAATGTAGAGAAAATAACTTTTAATGGGGATACATAATATGGAGGAAATAAATTTCTTCATAACATAAGAAAGATAGAACTTTATGGACAATGCAGTAAATGCAAACTGTAAATGTCATAGGTAGACTTCTTTTACGGAATGTTGACATTTGCCACTAGAGTTGCAAGATCATTTGGAAAGCTTTCACCAGCTGCTCGGGTTGTGGCCATCACACACCATCATAGCCATGTCTTCTAAGATATCCAAAGGCTCCTGTTCTCTGAACTCTATCTCATGTGCTTCAACTTTCTTTCTAAAGATCTTCTTAAGCATCCGACACTCTTCTGTAGGATGTCCTAGTGATCGGTGGAAAACACAATAATTAGGACCTTCGCGATCCTTCTTCGGCAAAAGCTCTTCGACATGAGGCAACTTCAGTTCCCCGTCTGCCACCCATTCTTTAACTAAGGCCTTCACCTCCTCGACACTACATGGAAAAGGAGTGTCATCTTCATAGTTTTTCCTCTTCTGACCTCTGAATTCCTCCCCCTGCAACTTTCGGGTAGAAGACACGGAACACACACTCTGCTTCAAAAAGAAAGACCCTCAAAGCTTACATTGATGAAAGCAATAGCTGCTCTTCGGAGATCCGAGTGGGAGTATACTTCTACTTCGTCAAGAAAGGTCTCTTCAGGTTGGTAACCGAGTCTACTATTCCTCTTTCTTCTTCGAGGGGCAGTAAAAAATTGAAAACTGTTTCAAGCAACATAACACAATGAAGATATACAATGTAGAGAAAATAATTTCTAATGGATATACATAATATGGAGGAAATAAATTTCTTCATAACATAAGAAAGATAGAACTTCTTGGACAATGTAGTAAATGCAAGACTTTTCATGGATCTGTTGTAGTCGGAAACTTGCTTCTTGTTGGCCAACACACCAGGCTAGGAATCCGGTACCTCCTCGGAAATAAAGTTCACCTTGAATAATTATGAATTGGGCAAGCTTGGCCATAGTCAATCTTCCAACTTTGCTTCTGAGTTGTTCGAGGACTTCTCCTCTCCAGTCCTCCGGAAGGCCTTTGTCTTCAGGTATTATCGAAGGCTCTATTCTCTTCTTGATAATAATTGTTGCCTCCTCCTCTGGGATATCAACTCCTGCCCCTAATGTTGCAAGGGCATCTGAAAACTTGTTGTCAGAACGAGGCACATGCTCTATTTCAACCTTCTGAAATTAGTCAAGAAGCCTTTAGACTATTGTTCGATATGTGGCCAAGGCAGGCTCCTTTAAGACGAACTGTCTTGAAACTTGCTTCACTATTAACTTTCAGTCCTCCCGAATCCGAATCTTCTTGATACTGTGCTTCTCAACTGCTATCAAGCCTAACATAAGAGCCTCATACTCGGCTTCATTATTCGAACAATGGAAATCCAGTTTATAAGATAAATAAAACTTTTCCCCACTTTTACTTGTAAGGACTATCCTGGTTCCTCTTTTACCTCCGGCTGTTGCTCCGTCAAAGCTCAATGTCCAAAAGCTTTCCTCGGAAGCCATAGCTGCATGCACCTCTCCTCTTAATTTTTCATTCACTGGTTCATAGTCACCACTTGGAAATTGAGCAAGGAGGTCAGCAAAGGCTTGGCTTTTGATCGCCTTGGGGGCTACTCATGTGATCTCGAATTCACCCAGTGCTAACAACCATCTTGCCACCTTCCCGGTTAGAGCAGGCTTGCTGAGGAGGTATCAGATTGGATCACTTCTAGTAACAATCTGAATCTGATGTGCTAAGAAGTAATGTCTGAGCTTTTGGGCAGTGAACACCAAAGCTAAACAATGTCTCTCTACCGGAGTATATCGGACTTCTGCTCCTCGAATCTTCCGGCTGATATAATACACCGGGCGTTCTACTCCATCTACATCTTGGACCAATAATGCCCATATGGACTTGGGGGTTGAAGTTAGGTACAACATTAGAGGGACCCGGGGCTGCGGGGCTATCATGGTCTGAGGCGAGGTTAAGGCCGCCTTGATTCTCTCAAAGACCTTTTGGTGCTCTTGGTTCCACTCGAACTTGGCATCTCCTTTTAACAAAGAGCCGAAAGGCGCAGAGATCTCTGCCAGTGCTGGGATAAACCTCCGAATATAAGACACCTTCCCGAGGAACTTCTTTAACTCCTCCTGAGAATGCGGGGGAGGCATTGCTCTGATAATAACCCAGACAGCCACCCGCATC